GAAGATAACAAAATGCAATATAACAACCACTGTTGATTTCCTATCATCTTGTTTTGAAATTCTGCATTGTTTTTAATTTTTCTTATTTTTTATTCACTTTAAAGTAAAACAAAAAATGTCTTTCCCATTGTTTAAATGCCACCATGTCTCTATCCTGGAAGACATTTTTTTTTCATGTTTTTGGTAGTGTTGTATTGTGCTGCTGTGTTGTAAAGCTTTAATTGTGACTTTGTCTGGTTCTGCATAATCTAGACAAAGAGAAGGTTGCTCACTCATTGGGAAATCTGAAATATTGTTGACCAGCAGCCTCAACTTTTCCAGCCCCGAGAGTCAAGCACTTCCTCAAGGAGACAGGGGGATGCCCAGGTCACCTTCTGTGCAAAAGCACGGACCCCGCATTACATGATTTTGAGAGCTGAATGCCTTGATCTGGCTTTGGGATAGCTCAGAGGGCCGCCCCTAACAAATATTTACATTTTGAAGGAATGAATTTTGAACTAACCTTACTCATCTTACTTTTCCTTGAGATATAAACTGCCTGATATTTTCTCTGAGGCAAGTGATAAATAAAAGAAAGCATACAAGCTATTCGGTATCATGAATTAAATTTCACACAAACTGACAAGACCTTTAGGTTGATTACATACTCGGGGCCACTACGGTCCATAGCTGTGCTGGCCGGGCAGGTTGTCACTGCACAGCCCTAGAGAACACCGCTCACATTTCCAAACACACCCACGTGTATATTTATTAGGATAAGCTCCTAGAAAGCATTAACAACTGTCTTGAGGAAATGGAAGTTTCTCTAATTTGCATAAAAATGCAGTTTAAAACAGGATCGGGGTGACATGTTGCCTTAACCATCCTTTTCACAACCGAACTTGACTATCTTAAGTTTCTGTATTTCAGAAACCCTTTATCTGAGAGCTTTTCTTAAAATTAACCAGCGATGACTTTTGGTACCTCCTTGCACAATAGTTGTCCTACCTCAGAGTCCTCCCTACAGGCCACACAAAAATACCTTTTTGTACCATGCCCTGCACTTTCACTGAAGTGTTAGCCATGGGTAAGGCTCTCACTGTCGCCACAGACTCCTCTCAGAAGTCAGTGTAGGAGGTGTGATTGATACTGCTGGGAATGACATTCCTACAGAACTCTGGCTTCCTGGTCGTCACCAAGCTGAAGAACATGTGGGGCTCAGCTGGCCTAACAAGCACTACTTAGAACAATGTGTTCTGCTGTGGCCTCTCCTGCAGAGAGCATGCTGACTTTGAACCGTGAAATGAGCAGAGAGAGCTGCACCAAGGTGAGTGACAGCCTGTGCTAGGGGACATCTATTTGAAATTTGTAGATCTTTCTTATGACCTTGGACTTATTTTAAGAATGCTATTCAGAGGCAGGTTCAAAAACTTTACCCTCATTGCAAACATTATGCCCAGGACTTTCCCTACATGCTGCTCTGAGGAGGAGGATGGGAAAATGACATTTTCATACTGGTATTTGAGTTATAGAGTTATTACCAGTTAATCTGATGTTTTGGAAGAAGCATAAAGAGATGCTTCTAAACATGAAAAATTTCCCTCCCTGCTCCTCCATTTCTTGATCCCCATAAGGGATGAAAGAGCAGGATGTGTTGTATACATGTACCAACTCCACACAAGGACTATAAACATGTACTGTAAACATATACCAAAAAAAAAAAAAAAAAGGAAAAGGACCAAGGGCTGGAGGGAGAAGGGTGGGAGAGAAGGGAAAGGGGATGAAAAATGAATTAAGATGTACTATTTACATGTACCAACTTCCCACGGGGAATGTAAACACTATGCATTATACACATGTACTAAAAAACTAAAATTAAAATTTAAAAATAAGCATGAAATCCTACTGCATAGAAACATGATACATAAAGCATCTACAATTGCTTTTTTTAATATTATTTTTCTCATCTATATAATGAGAATAGCTGGGGGCAGGCACCTGTAATAGCTGGGGGCAGACACCTATAATCCCAACACACAGAGAGGCTGAGGTGGGGGGATCACCACAAGGTTATGAGGTCAGCCTGGGCTACATAGTGAATTCAAGGCCAGCCTGAACCACATAGAAAGACTCTGTCTCAAACAATGAAATGAATACATAAATAAAGCATAAAAATAGAATGGGGATAGGCTATGTACCATAGAAGTGGAATAACAATGCATCCTAATCTCCTGGCTTGGTCCCTGTTTATATCTTTGTCCCAGAATAAGCATTGACTATGATGACTTTCAAGCTCAAAACAATACTTCCCTTTGGATTAAAAGGTAGATAGGGCTATTGTGCCAATTAATTACTTTACAATATTTCATAGACATAGTAAGTGTTCAACATATGGTAGAGTGTATTATATATTATTCTTATTGCTGCAGGCATTTTTACAACCATCGGAGGACCAGAACATCAAGACTTCCTGTCTACACAGGAAGTAGGAAAAAAATATCTCAGACAGGTGGCTTCTGCCCTATGACCACTAGGGGTTTCTTCTGCAAGACTGGGCTACGTTCCAGGTGGCCTCGTACACTCATACACCAGGCTCTTTGCTGCTGACCTTGTCCTGAGTCGATATCCAGCCTGCTTTCTCCATGCCCAACTCCTACTTCATTAGCATGCTTTAGTCCACGGCCCAGCAAGGCAGAAACAGACCACAATTACTTATATACCTACCTTTTGAGGTGTCTTGCTTTGTCTGTACATTAATGAAGAACAGCATTGGTTTGCTCAATATAGTTTCCCTGTAGTCTTTATAATCACAGTAGTTGGTCAGTTCCACATACCTATGAAGAAGCAAATGGCAAATGTAATGTACTGTCCCAGGAAGTGGGTATATGTACATCTATCTGCCCTAGTCACATACACTTTGAGGGAAGTTCCCTACAGCATATCTTTGCAGAGGTCACCATACTTTTATACAATACAAATAAATCTCCTTTCTTTGGTCACATTTGATCAGTTGAGGGCTCAGTATGCAACCAGTGCCATGGCCTTGGCTTGGCTTAATGTCAACATTTGGCTCTCAAAATGGGCTAGAAGAATCCACTTGAGTGATAAGCATTCTAAGTATGTCTAGATCAGGAATGAACTACTCTTAATAGGGGAAATTAACTGGGTCTGTCCAGTGGATTCATCTTATCTGAATAGTATGTCTGGAATTTTCTTTTCCTTCTCTTCCTCCTCTCCCATGATAAACCCACCCTCCTCCACAGACAGCACAATCAGCCAATATATCTGTATAAAGTATTAATAATTCCATTTCCTCAATCCTGAGCATGTGCGACTTAAATAAATAAAATTATTGTCAGACTTCTGCCCGTATCTTCATTAAATTTAGCTTCCTTGGTTTTAGTTCATCATTCTTGGCTAGAAAAATTTTCCTCAATCTTGACTCCATCACCTGGCACATTAGCTTTCTTTCTTTTCCCTACAAATCTTCCAAACAGACTCCCTGTCTTTGTCTATGTTGCTAATAAAAAGATCCAAGGAAAAATTAGCTTCCTTCAAGAAGATGGCTAATTTCCTGACCATACCAAGCTCAGAGGCTGTGCTGATAGAGGCAGGCTGAATGGCATCCAGCGGGCTGAAGGATGTCTCTGCCGCAGTACCTCTTAAACACGGGGCTGGTCCCCACTGACACAGCTATAAGCATCTGCACGGAGTGACTGGGCTAGCTGAGCTGACAGCATGTGCTGCCTTTTACTACACCGCAGCGTTATTGTTTCTTATATCTAGTCATGAGCAGAGACAGCTCCAGGCATTTCTTTCCAGCTACTTGTCCTTCCAGTGCCTGACATGAAAATCACAGCCTTGGAAAGAAAGGAGCTACTGCAGGAAGCTGTGGCCTCACAGCCCCTTGGCATCCCTTTCTGTGCCCACTTCCCATAACCCCCTCGGAGGGTCCAGGGTGCAAGACAGTGACCCAGGTGTGGGTCAAGAGCACATGGGAGAATATGTACCCCAAAGCAGAAGGACACAGCTTCTGCTTGGCTGTCTCCCAGCTTGATTTCTTAGAAATCTCTGTCATTATCTTTTTGCTGGATTGTCAGATCTGATTTTGAGTGCTTTTTAAAAAGTGACTCCTGATGGAGCCTCTGAAACAATTCTTGCCTTCTGTTTCATGAGGTGTGAAAGGAGTTCCACCTCCCAACTCATGTGCATGGGACACGGTTTGGAGGCTTGTCCCAGGAAGGCAGGGGAACAAAAGCTGGAGTGTTCCGGAGATGGGAAGGCGTGCAGGTGTTTGATGCTCTGGGGTGTGGGTGAGGAGGGTACGGAGTAGAGAAGGAGCAAGAGTCAGGGTCTGGGGCATAGTAAGGGAACAGATGAGGTAACAGGATGTAAACCCCAAGATTCCGTGTGGTTCTTTCTTTGCTCCTCCACCTTCAGCTGGGCAGAATACGAGAAAAGGGTAGTGGCAGCAGCTAAAAGCCTGAGAGGGTAGCACCTGGGTTTTTTGTCAGTGGGGAGAGAATCTCCCTGTCCTTTGTTCCAAGTGACCAACTGTCAAAAGGCACTGGAGAGAAGAAGCAAAAGAGAAGGAAGGAAATGGGAACCACACTCTGCTGGGTTCATTCATTCATGCATTCACTCCACAACATTTATTAAGCCCGGTGATGTGCTGAGAACCAACTAGGCAATACAGGCATGGCTCAGAACCTGGGAAGGGGGTCGGGAGCATGCAGGACAGGAAACCTCCTGTATTCATGTATGCCCCCTATTCTGCCATCCTTCTATTCAGCTGTCAGTGATGACACCACAGCCAGCATAAAAAAGGACAGGTGTATGTGACTGGACAGGAGTCACATACCAACTGTGATCCGTGACTTGCTCACCTGGGAATTAAGTGAGGGTCACTGAACCCTTTGGAGGTCAAGGCTGACCTGAAGATACATATATTGTTTAGGGAAAACATCTGACCCCAAACTTCCCATCTCTATCGATTTAAGCACCTTTACTATTCTACCCAAGGAGATTCCTCTATTCTTTCAAACCCCATGGTCATAGTTGTTCTCTAGAGTGAGCACATGATGTTTGTGTACAACATACCCAGAAAATCTGCACTTGTATTACTTTTCTGGTGGCCCGAATGACAGTTCACTATTTCCCTTTGCTCGAAGAATCAGCTGACATTGGTTGGAGACATCATTTTAACATCACTGGATTTTCTTCCAGTGAACCCACAGCTTACAGGGAAAAGATACAAATCTCAATTTAGAAATGATCAATGGTTGGAAGAACAATTGCTTTTCCCCCAGAATTCTGTGCAAAGCTTTTTGAGTGCAACAGGGCTCAACAAGCAGTTGTTTGGCAGAAGCAGAGAAGGGGACCCTCTAGTCACATATGGAGTTTAATGTACAGCCTGTATATGAATAGTCCATTTGGAGTCTGAATTTAATAAAGAGCCTGAATGCACAACAGAATTTAATCTGTCTTTGATGATTTGGAGACCTAAACGGGCTGCAAACCTTGTGGTACAGCATGTCCATTATCCTTGTGTGACAGATGTGTGCAGACACAGCTTATCCGAGAGCTCTGATACCAGAACTCACTAGGATATAAATAAGAACTATTCAGGTAGTAACAGATCCTACACTTACGTACCGTGATATCTCAATCTAGAAGGCTACTGAGTAATGGGTGGGATATATATAAAGTAAGGATACATGAGACAAAAAGATAATTCATTTGCTAGGTGTAGGAAGAAATCAGACAGCGAGTACTTCATCATGCAGCAGAATAGTACAAAAATTAAAACATATGCATGATTTATTTCTGGAAATTTCCACTTAATATTTTCTCACCACAGTTGACCAAAGGTCAAGGAAGGCTAAACCATGAACAAGGGGAAAATATTACAGCCCTTTAATTCCTCCATGTCCAGCCTCCCAGTTATGGTCCAATTGTTAAAAACCCTGAAGTTCAGTGAAATAAGCAAAAGGGAGCATTTCTTTAAAATTCACTCTAATAAAATTTGGAGTAGTAAGTTCCTTAAGATACAAAAAGATCAGAGAATCTAGTTGTTAAGACCTGCAGATATTTAAGTATCTGACATTTAATCACTGGTTTTAAGATGAGTGTTGCTAGGGTACATTAGGGAGTAGTTATTTGATCTTTAATCATGAATATTTCTGAATTAGTAATGCAAATATCACTCTTGTGTATTGAATATTTATTATATTTGCTGAAGTTATCATTAGGGATAAAAAGCAAACACTTGAGATAGACAGCTCCTTTAAACTCATTGCTTCATTGCTTTTGCCCTGGCCCCAAAATACTTTCAGGCTGAAACATTTTAAATCTGGCTTCACTACAAAGATAGAAAGGTAGGACAATGTCAGGGGAGCTACGGTGTTTCACGATAAGATCTAATCCGTGTCCTAATTCACTGGCTCTGTTAGCTTCATTTGAGAGCCACAGCTGACTGTGACCTGAAATGTGTTATGTAACTTATCTGCACTTGCTCCTTCATTTGTCACAAGGGCATAACAGTATTTCCTCCTGTGTATGATTAGTTCGGTGTGTATAACATGGACATACACACATGGGCCCATAGGAGATGCCCAGTAAACACTGCGATTACCTTTAGTCCTGGCGAACTCTGCTGGCCCACTGGGTGAGGTTCTGTACGTTTCTGACCCTCAACCAGGGATGTGTTCATTTGAATTACCAGGAAAAGGGGGCAAGGTTAAGTGTTGGGAAAACAAATGAGTGAGAGTTTCTCATTTTCTGCTTTAACTTCTTGCCTCATTTTTTCAGTTTGGAAGAGTAACAGGAGCAGCTCAAGGAGGCAACATCTGAAAGATGAGGCCAGGAAAGAGCGCTGTGTTTTCCTTCCTAGCAAATCAGGAATGGCCGGAAGATGAGCCACACTCTAAGGTACCACCTTCAGAGCATCTTTCTCGCTCCACAGGACGATCTGGAGAGCTGCCCCAGATTTCTCTCGGTTCTAATGATTTAGTGCTCCACAACAAAGAGGAACTCAAATCCATGGTCTAACCCCAGAGGTTGGTATATGCATGTGCATTCTATTTTTTTAATGGATAAAGAAAATACCATATTAGCCCATTAATATGTAATACATGATTAGTTATCAAGTAAAATAAAGGTAAAAAAATTGAATCAAAAAACAAGCAACAGAAAGTAAAAGTAGGATCTCAGATATTTGCATATCCATGTTCACAGTAACATTCACAGTAGCTAAAAGGTGGAAGCAACACAAGTGTTCATCCACAGTGACTGGACAGATAAAACTAGAATGCTATTCAGCCTAAGAAAGGAAGGAAATGAGACGCATGATTCAACATGAATGAACCTTGATTGAAGACATTATACTCAGTAAAATAAGCCAAGCACAAAAAGGCAACTATTATACAATCCTACTTGTAGTAGATACGTGGAATAATCAAATTCATAGAGGCAGAAATTAGAACAGTGATTGCCAGTGGCTGGAGGGGAGCACGAGTAGGAAGCTATGGTTAAATGTGTCCGGAGTTTCAGTTTGGGAAGGTGAAAAACTTTGCAGATGGATGGTGGTGATGGCTGTGCTCCAGTGTGAAAGTGCTTAATGCTACTGAACCGTACGCTTGAACGTGGTTAGAACAGCAAACTTTGTGTGCTGTGCATTTTATCAAAGTAAAATAACAAGAAACAAGGAAAATGGAGTAGAAAAAAAGAGGAGCACACACTGCATGGTCTTTGTGCAGGAGCCCCAGAAATGCTTGTGGCTTTCACAGTCCTTGGCTGAGACATTAAGTTTCCAGGGATTTCCACTCCTGGGAGC